TGTGCACCTCTACCTACTCCTTCGGGGATAGAAGGCGTGATTTTATGATGATGACCTTTATACTAAAAGAAGAAAGGAAAATCACTGTGACTGGGGAACGTTCCCAGAAGACTGGCAGCATTGCCACGTTGTATAATGATGAATGAAGTGAGAAATTACGTTATCAAACAATGATGCAATTTTTAACAGTACTTAAGTAATTTATTCAATCTTTATAATTATTCCATAAAGCGAACAAGAAGAAAATAGTATTAATGTGTAGATGTTAATTTAGGTTTATGTGGTTTACAATAACTATGTTTACAACAAAAGAAAAATAGAAAAATAGGATAGGGGAAAACACAAGAAAAACTAAGTTAACGCATCAAAAAAATTATCCTCATAATTGTCATGAGGTCAGGTGCCCAAAAGGCTGTCAGCATTGCCACATTGGATGCCAATGCTTAACTTTTAGCCAAGATGGTAGCCAGCCTTTCGATCACCTGAAGTGTCAACCATCTTCTTTACATTATTTAACAACTGCTTTAGCAGTTCAAAGTAATGTACAAGCTCACGTGTTTTTGATTTACATTGTCTGACTGACTACGGTATTTGGATGTCATTATACATAGGGAACATACACAATTCCACATTGCACTTCTCACGATGCTTTCTGCCTCGCACAGCAAAACTGTGGAATGATCTGTCGTCAGCGGTATTTCCGAACCGATACGACCTTCAAATTTTCAAGAAAAGAGCGTATTCCTTTTTGAAATGCCGGCAACGCACCTTTGACTCCTCTGGTGTCGCGGGTGTCCATGGGCGGCGCTGATCGCTTACTATCAGGTGACCCCTCTGCTCGTTTACCTCCTATTTCATAAAAAAAGTAACATACATACCAGATCAGACCACGCATTTTTTTTTTTTTTTTTTTTAAGGGGGGAAAATCATCGAATGACTGCCCCCGCCTGGGTGAGGCGGGAGGGAGTGTCAGACTCTTACTGACTAAAAACCACCCCGTTCCTTCTCCTGCACGTCGAGCCGGAGCCCCGGTTACCCGTTAGGTTCTCCGCGACATCAGACCACGCATAGGAATCAACTACCAAAATAAAAAGATGAAAATATTTTAAACTTTTAATTCAACCTTCCAATTCGATAGCGAGATTTGGACAAAAACCTTTCCGAGCTACAATAAGTTCTGAATTGAAGCACTTGGCACATTCTAGGTTCCAGTAGGTGCGTCCGTTTGATGCGCAGACAGGGTCCAGGATCCCGTGGCACATGGGGCAGCTAATCAGGTCTGCTGCAGAGAGCCCTTGGTACGGCAGACTTGACGCCATTGAGACTAGCAGCAGGAGTAGTACTGTGAAAAACGAAACATATGTTAAAGGTTATTTTGAAATTGTTATGAATTGAATATGCTTTTGTGACTTAGTAGAAATCTTATTGGTAAAGGGAGGTTCAGGAATAATTTTCTTAAAAAGCTATAAATATTGTTTAGAACATTTATTGTGGGCAGGCCTTCCGCTAGGTGGACCGATGACATTGCCAGAGATGCGGGGAATAAGTGGATGCAAATGGCGAGTTGTCGTTCGACGTGGAGGACCAAGGGGGAGGCCTTTGTCCGGCTGTTGATGATGATGATGATTGTTTAAAACTCCTTTGGGTGGTTTAATAGAATAAAGCTTAGGAACAGATACAGAGGCAGTGAGTAACTTTATTTTATCCTGGACAGTGCACCTAGTATCTACATGGTGGACCACTGTACAGTGTCGTGATGCTATTGAATGTGATGATATTGAAATTTGAAACTATCAAATCATGATCAATACACCGTAAAATCTATATCGAAGAAACAAAAGAAATAAAATATTTATAACAAAAAATGACTAGTGAACCGTTTCCAAAAAGCAAACTTCGAAAGCGAATACGAACTCATAGTACATTATCAAAACATCACGCCATGTAAAAACGAAATCAATTTCACGAAAAAGAGCGGGAATATGGGCTTGTTATTTCACAGGGTTACAATATTTTACCTTTTAACCATCTGTTCAACAATCCATATCCAAATAATAAATCTGTCTAACACACGTGTGGGAGAGCCATGCTTCGGCACGAATGGGCGGGCTCGACCGGAGTGATACCACGGCCTCACAGAAAACCGACGTCAAGCAACGCTTGCGTTGTGTTTCGTCGTGTGAGTGAGGTAACCGGAGGCCCAATTACCGCCCGCCATCCCCAGTCTCCCGAATCCCCGAATCCTCTAAAATCCTCAAGTTTCCAATTCCCAAAAGGCCGGTAACGCACTTGTAACGCATTGGTGTTCCAGGTATTCATGAGCGACGGCGATTGCTTACCATCAGGTGATACGTCTGCTCCTTTACCGGCTTATGCCAAAAAAAAAACATAATAAAATGTAAATACTCACTGAATTTCATGGTAATATTTCCTTATTGTATCGTTTATTTTATTAAATATTGTATTTGTTTAAGTTTGTATTTGTATTGTATTGACGTGCAACTACCCGGTAAGCTGGCAGAGTAAATAATATTAGTGCGTATTTTATTATTAAGGATATTGTTAGCACTGCGCCAAAGCTTATTACGTACTAATTGGATAGCAATGTAGACCTTATCAATATGTAAATACGGAAAAACAAAGTCGCCATCGACGGGCATACTAAGCTACCCCAGTCTGACTATTTATACATTTTCAACTTTATTAATTTGTATTAAAGTTGCAAATATATTGTGTAAGGTACTAGCGGACTATATTTCCTCACAGACAATCTTATCATCTTGCTTTGTATCAATTAATTTAATTGTATTTACCAATGTTTATGCAGTTGAAAATAAACATTAACAGAAAATTGTAATTAAATACTTAACTTATTTTGAAAACTAACCAGATTATTTCAATGAACCTTTCAAATCAATGGTAACAAAAGATTTAAACAGCATTATTTTATTAGGACCATATCGCTAACTAATTGTGTACCTAAACTCTTTAAAAATCGCACGAAAAAATAACTTTTATGTAGTATCTTTACATTAAATTATATTTATTAACATGCATACAATAATTTAATAAAATAACACACCATCTATATAAAAATCGTTGCTGAATGCTAACTGACATATTTGAATTGAATTTCGAACGTTAAAGAACAAAATGGCGGTGATTGGAAGATTGACAGTTGTGGCTCTAATAGTGTGTTGCCTGTGCCTGGTTGAGGCGAAGAAAAATAAACATGACAATGACAGAGTGTCCAAGGGAAACCAAGGTCATCAAGGGCACAAGAACCATCATGAACGTCATTTCGTAAAGAGAGACGCATATGATTACCAGGGATATGACGATGAGCGTCCTGAGTACAGCAACTTTGACAGGCCTCACAGGATTCGTGTGTTGCCAGGATTTCTTCATTAATTCACCATTTTTCGACTCAAGGGATTTGTGCAATGACTACGCGTTGAAGTGATTATTTTTAATTTCGTTTTAGTGTGAGTAAAATGCTTGTTTAATGTCAAACAGTGATTTTTCTTTTATTTCTTACGTTTTAAGTGAACATCTTAAGTAGTAAGAACGTAAGTGAATAATTCGAATAGTAAAAGAAATAGTCATTTATAAAATTTTATTAAAAATAAAAAATGGCGGCATACAATAAAACTATTTAAGTAACAGATTACAATAATATGTTCATCAATAATGATTAAGTAATACATTTAAATATAATACTTCTATATTAACGAAACTTGAGTGAAATTACAACTTATAATTACAAAATAATAGTAATCTTAAATCTTAAAATTAAATCTTAGAGATATACTCTTTTGGCAATAAAGAACAAAGATTATTTAAAAAAGCTGCTGATTGACAAACAATATAATTATGTTTAAATTGTAAATTAAATATGAATGTTGTAATTTTAGCATCACTGTAAAAACTTCAAAGAATTCTAACTTCAAACATAACCTCTAAATGAATTCTACAAAAAAATTGTGAGGCGAAAACAACATAATGAATTTAATGATTTTAAATATAAAATGGACATAATAATTAAACACACAGGGATAATAATGATTCTCTTATATATAAGCACCTTTGATTCAGCGATACCGACTTATCATTTATTTGGTTAGTATATTATTTGACGACATTGTATTGGATGTGTAAATGACATAAAAAGGAATGTCAGTGCACGTCACAGATTATACAAATATTATAGTGCTAGTAAATTAACCGTAAACCAGTAAGGTGGTTTAAAAAATCAGATAGGGGGGCATGAACCAGTTGGTTGATCCCGTACAATTCAGAGTTAACGTCAAGGCGATCGTATTCGTGAAAAAAATCGCAATGGCCACCGCCCATGGCACTCGCAACACCAGACGATTTAGAAGACGTTACTAACATAGCAAGATTAGGTACATACTATATCCACTATATGTTAATTTAGAAGCACTATTAAATCCTTTAGAGTTCAATGTCATTTACATAATTCAGAAACAAGCCCTAATTATAATGCAAGGGTTTTGGCAACTATCACTAATACATTGCTGAATTTTCGTTACTATACATAGAAACTATATCAAGTATACTTTAGATAGAAAAAATAGATGGGTCTGAATTTAACATAACATAACATCACGCCTTTTATCCCCGAAGGGTTAGGCAGAAGTGCACATTAGGGCAGTTAATGCCACTGTACAATATAACACCCACTTTTCACTATTTATGTTATGAGTCCCATGTAATAGTGGGGTGAGCCTATTGCCATAAACCGGACACATATCCAGACTCCGTGCTACTTCTGAGGTTTTTACAAACCCAGTAATATTTTTGTTGTCTTGTCTGAATTTGTTGAGAATATTTAGAAACAGATTAAAAACGTTTAGAGAAAAGGCAAGCTCTTGACCTAACTTAGACTCGTTTCATTACCGTGTTCCCTGTATATATAAAACAAAAAAGTTTTTGAATGAATACACTACAATACTAATCTATATAAATAAAAATGGAATTCCGTTCGTAAGTCTCGCTAAAACTTGAGAATGGCTGAACCGATTTAGCTAATTAGGTGTTAAAATGTTTGTGTAAGTCCAGGGAAGCTTTAAAAGGAAGAGAAAAACATTTTTAGGCCTACTAGCTGGTACAAAATATAATAGCTAAGTATTAAAGTATTCATAATTTTATTTAAATATTTAAGTATAGCAACGAAACGCAGCTAATATGTCCAAATATATTTTTTATATCTCTCTTGTTAGATCTAATACATTTTGTCAACAATGACACGATACAATAGGCGTAAACAACTTAAAAACTAATATTTTTGGCACGTTTAGAATTCACATGTTCTTTGGGATCACGTTTTAGTAATATATCATTATAAGTAGGTACTTAATTAATATAATATGGCTAAAAATAATAATTAATTTTGGCATCAAGTTTGCCATGACATTGGCGGGTAAAAAGGTAACCTTAATATGATAGGCTTTTTTAAAAAATGTACTTTAAATAGTGTATAACAATGTGATACAATTAATTTGTTCATAACATAAATAGTACCGTGTGGCAATCAAAAGGAAGCAACTGGGATACAATTAGAATGATGTAGAATTTGAATTTGTAACGTATACGAACCACGAATTTATATGATATACTAAAATATATACTGAATAACATCTAGGGTTAATAAAATCACCTTAGACCATAATATACATTGAAAAAAAATCAACACGACAAACACAAATAACATTTTATAAAAAACATGGCATAAATAATCTCATAATGTCATATTATAGATAATATATCTATAATAGGGCACTTATACTGTCTAAATATACATATAAAATCTGTAAGTAACTGTAATGCCATTTGGAGTTATATTACTTAAACTAAAGTAAGCTACACATTAAAATAGAGTGCACTAATTGAGACAATTAACCTGTGAAGTGTCGGACCGTAGGTCTGCGCATGGCACAATGTGATATTCTATTGTATCTCATATATCGACAGACAATAAACTATTCCGTAGATAATATTCGGTTATTTAAATTAAGAATGCTTTTTTTTTTAATTTTTGACCAGTTTTCATAGAGGGGTTTAACGAGTAAACGTATCTCCTGCCTGCCTGATAAATGAACAGTTCCCCTTTACTTATTATACTCTTTGATGAACAGTGCGGACCATAGATATCCGCTGCAACGGAGGTACAAGTGCGCTACCGACCTTCTGGGGGTGATGTTGGATTTAAGACCTTATTCGCTTCAGAATTAGATGAAAAATACTAAATTTAAAAAAAAAAAGCATTTTCTTTAAAATTACATGAAGGATATTTAAGATAATACCGTTATAACAGTAACTTAGTGCACTCAGATCATACTTAAAATATATTTCAAAAAACATCATATAAAAATCTTTTTGGATAAAACCTTCGAAATATACATTTCATTATCTTAAAACTTTAAAATTATACTTAAATTTGAAAAATATATAAACTAGAAAATAACGAACATTTACGTTGCCGGTATACTAAATAAAAATATGAGAGCGATAATTAAAATGAAAAATTTATAAACAGCGCCATCTACAAATCGTGCGAGGAACTAAGAAAAACAAACATAGAATATTTATAACTCCTCCTTCTACATATTTTTATATTCTTGTACTGTTTGATAAAGAATTACGGTAAGTATTTAGTACTCCCTGCGGCAATAATATCCAAGAGAGCGACATTTCTGGCACAGATGTTGTGGGTGGATCTTGGACTGGTCACTCACATCCAGTCCATCTGGTTTCTCCAGCGGCCTCTGAAATTTAATGTTCGTCATAAGTCTAAATCTCAGTGTAAAGTTCATAGGCTTGTATACAAACAAGAACAACCTAGAATTCATATAATACAGACAAAAAACTTAGATGTTCAGGTTGATAAATATGAGGAATAAATGTGCCAAAGGCCTTAGTCAGCTCTTACTTTATTATAGGTATACCTATCTTGAATACAAAATACAGAAAGAAAAAGAAAGAGTTGAAGCAGTTTTGTCAACTGTTGATTTCGTTACTTACTTGTTTATGCGGGAAGACATTGATGCGACACTTGATGCACTCCTGACCGTTGTTGGCCCAGGAGTTGCCACTCATCCACTTGCGCTTACACTTCGGGCACTTGTATTCACCGAAGCACCTCTTCTTGCCCTGGTACGGCGTTAGACCTTCACCTTTAGGACGAGCCTGGAAGTAAACATTACGTGGTTTGAATATTTCGTACAAAAATGTTTGGAGGTAAGGTTAAGGTAAAGTAGTAATTTTTGGTCAGCAACTTCGGATATAAAGCGACCACGTAACGTAAAAATATTCCTTTTATTCTGTCTTACTCATGGTTATCCCCAGACTCTGTTATACTTGAAGGTCGAAAGAACCTCTAAAGAAAATTCAGTAACTACTGTGGTGTGAACCGATTCAGTCATTAGTCATAAGGTCTTTTATAAATGACATCTACTTTATTCCAAGGTCAGATTCAAAGAGGCCCATATGAACACTAAATATACAAGGTCACAGGTCACATAGTTCCAATAGATTACAATGTACTACAAAGACCTCTCACATTTATGTAGTTTATCAACTTCTCAGAACTGATACATCTCGTTTGCTTCCTGATGTAGCATTCTCCTTTGTTTTTGTTATTATTACAGTTTAAAATAGTACAGAGCATTGTTGAAATATTCATCTACTCTGCATGTTACCTAGAAGAAGTGATAGCCGTGAGGTACCAACTAATATTTTAAAGATTAATCCAATTAAGGATAAAAACCGTTGCAGATAGTGACTCTTATCACAAACATAAACCAGGCAAAAGTGTAGTAAGTTCTTGGCAATACATCGCAAAAAATCCATTATTCATTATAAATCTAATCCAAAAAGAAAACTCCATTCCAAACGAAAAAAAGGCAGTCATAACAAAGAACAGTAGGTACAACAGAACTTCCAAAAACTAGATCTAAATCAAACCAAGTATAAACAGTTTATCGCTTCGTTCAGGTCAAAACTGCACAGAGCCAGCTTTGTAATACAACCGATAGAGAGCACAGCACTCTTGTTTTGAACATGATCACGACTTGCGTGTGAGTTACAGCCGAACTCAACGTTCCTAGAATTAGAGACCATGAATACCATCATTGTTTTAATACATTTGTATGTTATACTGATTTCTGGGATCGAGTTCAAAGTGATAAAGTCACTGCGTGTATTGAGAGATTGATTGATAATTTAATTGCTGTATTAATGCTTCCATTGATTGCTTTCGTTCATTGATTTGATTATTGAAACGATGTTGATTATGATGTAGTATATCAAAATATTAAACGTTTCAAAATGAGCGAAGTATCCAGAATACCAGAAAATTTACATTATTGGCCAATATTATTGGGTATTCACTGTACAATATACACTATACAGTATCTATAAACTTTGATGAACTACTAACACAATAGTCTTCTAAGAATGATACTAATAGTGTTGTTTACAGTCATAACTCCGAGTAATTGAACATGTCTTCTACCTATATTTGAACACGGAATGGATAGTTTAAGAAAAGCTATCGTGTGTACGATAAAAGTAAAAATTAAAAATATCGTGTGACTGATTTGGCAGTACGCCCGACGGATCACCATCAGACATCCGACTTCAGACATACAGGTTGTATCCCAAAACGTCGTTTACGAGAGAAATTAATCGATTTAAAAAAAATATTCTCGACAAAGTTTCTCGTTTTAGGATCATTACGATCGTCGTTAATTTATTTTTTTACTGAAACAGGAACGGTATCCGCTACCCGCCTGGTGTCGTTAACAAATGCAATGAAAATTGAATGTCTGCCGATACTATAAAATAACCGGGTATTTAGGTAGTAAGTTTGGTTTTCGAAAAAGTAGGTTAAGATTGTGTTTCAGACTACAGCTAAACAAAGACAGGTAAAGATGAGCTGGTACCTATATTTTGTATTAATCGTCTAGTTAACTACATAGAACTACATTATTATGTCTCTAAAAGGCTAATCAACTCCTTACAACAGCAAAATATTATGGCATGAACAAAAATGTTAAAAAATACAGACTCACCTGAGGGCAATCTCCAATATAGTGCCCTTTCTTGAAACATAGATGGCACATGTACGCAGCAGGCGGTGGTCGAGGTGGTCTCCTCAATGATAAGGCTGCCAATTGTTCTGCTAGAGAACTGGTGTCATCTGCCGGTGGAGCTGCAGGTCCTGATGCAGCCGTCGGTAGAGGTCCCCATACTGAACCGGGTACCCACTGGAAAATATTGGAAAAACATGTTACTATTACGCAAAAGTAGAGGAACATTGCATAAAAAATATATGGGTAGTGAATCACTTCTGGTTTTTCCGTGAATTTGTACTAAATGAGACTCTAGAACGAGTCAGATTTAGTTCCTATTCACCTAATAAATTATAACTCTCAGTTTTATGTTTATCGTGCGTACTACCAGCGTAATCTAAATGTAAATAAATTTTAATCCTGACATTCACATTCATTTTACATGTACCTATGAGTTCTATACCATTTTATGTGAAGTTCTGTTCTGTTCAAAAAATAATTGACGAAAGGACCAAAACAATAAAAAAAACACTTCGTAAAATTCCAAACAACTACTGTTAAAATCATGATCATGCAAAAATCATTATTAATGAAAATTAACTAACCAAACAATCATTCCAGTACGCCATTGAGTGACCAGGACATGCCTAGACGTCTTTAATCACGACCAATATGCGGCGGCGATTAGACAAATGAAATTGCAGTAAATAATGGCCCACGCGCGGCGATTGGTCGATGGAGCCGCGCTCGCGCATCTGTTCAACGAATTATTGAGCCCGCGCGCCCGTTCCAATTTCGAACGTGCGTTGACGCTCTGAATCACGCGCGGACACAAATGGGCTAAATGCTAATGCGTGTTTTTCAACGATCATTACTGATTTGTTAGACAGTTGTAAGATGGGGGACATTTTTATACGATCAGCTTCGTCGGAGTAACACGCCTGTCTACTTTGTGTTTATTTATGGAACATCAACAGCGATGTTATTTTACTTATAACTTCATTGAGATCGTCGTATTTGTCTATCTACAAATATTAAAATCTAAAAGATTAAATTTACCACGAAGTTCATTGACGTAAAATTCATTTAGTTAGATTTAGATTTAAATTCAAAAGGACAAATCTAAGAAGTTGAATCTCCCTAAAAATTCTATGTTTGGAATTGGTCGGCAATCCACTTTGAAATTAAAATTCCCAATACTTTAATTAAAGTTATGATTTTATTATTAAATAAATGAAACTCTGCTCGTCACCATCTTAGCTTGTTGTAATTGAGATAAATGTGAACTCCGCCAGACAATTGACTTAATAACAAGTACACATAAGTAGTTAAACGGAGCAAACATTCTGGAAGAACTTGTTAAGTCAAGCAAAACTAAGATTAACATGTCCTTCTATTATTTGAGTTACATGGTCTTTACATTGCTATTTCTATTCTTAATTTACAAATAATAAAACAGTAATATCGGGCAAAGTATTACTGGGTTTGAAAAAAATTCTCAGTAGTAGCACGGAGTTTGGAATTGTGCCCGGTATATGGCAATAGGCTCACCTCCTATTCAATTACATGGGACGCATAACATTAATAGTGAAGAGTGGGTGTTATATTGTACAGTGGCATAATGTGCACCTCTGCCTATCTCTTCGGGGATAAAAGCCGCGATGTAATGTTATGTAAATTTTATACCTAATTCTCTACGCAGATTTAAATGCAATGCAATAAAATATTCCTGTAGACCATAAAATTGTTTTCGAAAACGATATAACTGCCACAAATTGCAACCAAAACGTTGTTCAAACCATTTCACTTAGTATCAAAATTATTAGTGGTTTATATGAAGACGGATATAATATCGCACGTTTGTTTATTATGACCAGCTATAAATACCGCCGGACCAGTGGGTGGAGACATTTTAGGCGTCTGTAGGTACTGTAACTACATTTTCAGTGCATTTGGCCGTCGTTTGTGATGTTTAAATCTTTACTTTATTATTTTATGCAATTATAAATCTTTATACAAGGGTTTGGAGCTCTCATTTACATTTTGAATTATATTACTTTATAGTTAAGTTTTAAAGTTTCTTAATCTCAAAGTGTGCCTTTGTATAGAGAAAAAGGAATCTTAAATAAATAAAAGGCGTTCCGTGCGCCTCTCACCTCGCCATCAGACTATCATGGATACGGAACCGCTGAGAACGTAAAAGGTTAATAAGAAACTTCATAACATGTAATTCTTTTAAAATCGGAGGTTGTCTATAAACGGTCAAAAATGTACCTACACTTATTCTTCTTCTTCTTAGACTTTCTTTATTTTGTCGCGGAGAACCTAACGGGTAACCGGGGCTCCGACTCGACGTGCAGGAGAAGGAATGGGGTGGTTTTTAGTCAGTAAGAGTCTAACACTCCCTCCCGCCTCACACAGGCGGGAGCAGTCATTCGATGATTTTCCCCCCTTAAAAAAAATAAATAAAATTTTCAGACATTTGTTATTTAACTGACTTCATCAAAGGAGGTTCTCAGGTTAACCTGTACGTATGTATGTTTGTGCGCGATTATCTAGCGATTGGCTAAACCGATTTTGATGTTGTTTTCAGTGAAGTGTTTGTTACACTTAGGAGAAGGTTTAAGTACCTATATCAATTAACCGAATTTATAAAAGAGGGGGCTAAAGTCAGTTTTTTTAAACGTAATTTGTTTGGGAGAGCCATGCTTCGGCACGAATGGGCCAACTCGACCGGAGTGATACCACGGCCTCACAGAAAACCGACGTGAAGCAACGCTTGCGTTGTGTTTCGTCGTGTGAGTGAGGTTACCGGAGGCCCAATTACCCTCCCCTTCCCCAACTTCCCAATCCCTGAGTCCCCAACGATCATCAAACTCCCAATCCCCAAAAGACCAGTAACGCACTTGTAACGCCTCTGGTGTTCCAGGTGTCAATGGGTGACGCCGATTGCTTACCATCAATTGATCCGTCTGCTCGTTTACCGGCTTATGCCATAAAAAGGCCTAATTACTTACCTCCCCAATCCCCAAATCCCCAACAATCCTCAAATTCCTAAAACGGCGGTAATACACATGTAACGCCTCTGGTATTTCAAGTGTCCATGGCGACGCCGATTGCTTACCATCAAGTGATCCGTCTGCTCGTTTACCGGCTTATGCCATAAATAAAAAAAAAATAATTAGTTAACAAAATTATTTATTGCTCTTTTTTCATCTATATTGGTCATATAGAAAGAATTTCTAGAAGCCAAACATGAGCGGCTTCATCTGAAACAGACTCCACAATAGCCTTGTTTCGAATTACACCATAAAACTGAGGTGGAGCTGAGATATACCGAGTGAGGTGTCTCGTTGCTTATGGTGGGACATCCTGTGGAACACCGCTTTGATCACCTCGACACCTACTGCATGCTTGATTGTAAACACTAATAAAGTGTTTCGAAGTGAGATTGGTGTCCAGTCGTGCTGTTGTGGAATGTTTTTTTATTGTTTTGACTGTTTTTATTATATTTGGTGAAATACTAATGTACTTGATAGGGAATCTTGTGAGATGTATTTTTCCAGTTTGCTTATCTTGGAAACCAATCATTCAAACTACCTAACTGTAGCGATTTAGTACAAAGCCATCAATTTATCAACATGGAAGAAATCAAATTAACAATTGTCACAATTTTCGGACAAAAGGACCACGAAAATGGACACCATGACATAATATCACGCTTTTTATTCCCGAAGGAGTAGGCAAGGGTGCACATTACTGCACTTAATATCACTGTACAATTTAACACCTATTTTTTAAATTTATGTTATGTGTCTCATGTAAAAGGAGTGTGAGCCTAAATTGCCATGTACTGGGCACAATTCCAGACGCAGTAAACCTACCTATGTAAATTACTTCAATGCCAAAAAGACCAGGAAAAAGGACCAAATATTTATTGTAAGTAGATCGCTTCCTAGGACCGTTTTCATTTACTCACATTCCGGTGTACAATTAACGCAGGGTGCATGGTGTCGAGCTAACCATAACTCTATAATTAGACGCTGACGGCTGCTACCTGTCTGGTTACCATCAGGCGTGTGTCAGCACACTTCTGGACGCACAATTTCCCGTTCACAGAAACATTGGTCTGTTAATAGGGCCTTGGAGACATTTCTATCAAGAATTTGGTTAATGAAGAGGTATTACTGCCAAGCGAAGGGTGGCTTGTTTCTTAAAAAAACTTGTTTCGGTTCGAAATGTAGACTTTGTTATCACAACAAATTTTTGTAACTCGGGAGATATTTGCATTGATGTTTGATACTTAATATAGATCGAAGCCAAATGATTAATTTGTAATAATTTGAGCTCTTAATATGCATCCTAGCAGATCTTTTAAGTACTTATACAATGCTAGCTGTGTTATAATTTGTATATCAACTAAAGTGGGTTTGATTTTAACTCCAAAAAGCCGTCTGCATTTCACGTGAAGACTTTTTCGTGAAGACGGTTTAATGTTTAAACACCTTCTTTATCTGAAGAGCTAAGGTATAGATACACTCACTTTTTCCTCTACATTTTCAGTGCCTTGTAACGTGGGGTAAAACTATGGTAGAGGTGTATATTACTTCAAAAACTATTATATTCTAACAGACGACGGTATTTCATCTTTGAGACGCACGTAAACGTCGGTCACGGTTGTCGTACGAGTATCTATGACAGTTCTAACGAGTGAACTCGAATATACCTCTATGACAACGGAATGGGAGAGCAGGCACATTGAGTAACAATAATACGACATTTTTAAAACTGTGCTGTATCTAAATCAGGACTGAACATTTTTCTGAATGCTATATCTAAGCTATACAGATTGGAATTTTGTAATGCCACTTAAAAGGGAAGTACTTTTAATATTTAAGATAGAAAATTTTACTCAAAGAAACCTTTCCTTTAGAGAAGAAAGACAACTGCATTCAAAGATATTTAAAAATTTCACTTCTTTCATTCGCTTCGGTTTTTTTTGTATTTTATTTAACTTATGCAGTTTGTTGGAGAGATTTCATCCTTATTGACCCTAAAGATCGATGCAATGTACAGGGTGCAAATTTTGATAGATTTTAGTCGCTTCAATTATCGTGTGCGGCAAGCTAATTTCTCAAAAATATTTGTATAAATTTCTGTTTCTTTTCAAAAATAAAGTACCGTTTTCTTTGAGTAAAATTTAGTACTCTTAAACTCTTAAGTATTAAGAGTACTTCCACTTCAGATGGAATAACAAAATTACAATCTGTATAACTAATGTTAGACTTAATGAAAAGTAGCCCAAGTCTTCTTCCACGTGTTCATAGGAAAAGAGTAGTCTGTATCACTTTCTAATCTTCTATTTCCAGACACAAAATCACTTCATGTTTTTTTTCATGTTTTTCACATTATCAAGAATATTTATTTCATTTTTGTAGGTGAGGCAGGAAGATACACTAGTTGAGAACAAGGACCGGAAAAGGAAGGTCAGTTAGCAGCTGATCCCGTGATCTGATTGTAAACACCTACTATGGCAGGAAGAGGAACTAATCTAATCTCGTATAACTTTGAAATCAAAATCTATACAGTGCTTGGAGTTTTTCAAAAACTCCTTGAATTTTATATAGGTAAGTTAATGATAAAATTGAAATTTTCTTTTATTTAAAAAACGTTGCCCCACCTTAGGATTTTCTCCTGTGTCGTGGGTGAGTTTACAATCATACAATATCACATACACATGACACCATGACCCGAAACAACAATTTGTGGAGTTGCTTCGTGCGAGAATCGTAGTAACCGAACCCGCTACACATTGAGCAGCAGCCAGTTCCCCAGCCACTGCACCAACCGTGCAGATAAATAATACTATTTTTCATGGATTTGTAACTATAGTGAATTTTCACTAGAACGACACATAACATAACATCAACATCACACCTGTCTTCCCCGAATGGGTAGGCAGAGGTGCACATTACGGCACTTAATGCCACTGTGCAAAATAATGCCCACTTTTCAATGTTTATGTTATAAGTCCCTTGTAATAGGGGGTGAGCCTAATGCCATATACTGGGCATTATTCCAGACTCCGTGCTACTACTGGAATTTAAAAAAAAACCCAGTAATATTTTGCCCGAGCACCGGGTCGAATCGATTACCGAATCGAACCCAAGACCCCTTGCCCGTCAGTCGCACTTGCGACCACTCGGCCAATGTGGCAGTTACAGGCAACTCGACAATTGTCTGTAATCTCTGATTCCAAACATAGTTTAGCAATAGACTATGTTTCTATCTCGGGCTGTTGATGTAAAATGCAAGCATTATCACTCATGATAGGGCAAATCCTAAAGTGATTCAAACAGACATTTACAGAATATATCAATATATTTGTTTCAAATATGGATTACAATTGCTAAACGAACTTAAGCCTTTGACTGCCGATAGAAAACTGTTGAAGACAAATTCTCGGCTAACGTGGGTCACCGGAGACTAACGTGGCGGTTAACGTGTTAAAGAAAATTTCCAGAAATCTTCATCTGATTCAGCTAAACAAAGGCGGGACGATAAAAATATTGATATAAAACTACAACAGGGGCGAAGTTGTTTATTTTCTTTAGCAATGTTAACTTTGAGCGAGGGAAAGATACAAGCATGTGGTTGTAATCGAAGTAATACAAAGTTCCTTGAACAAAATTACATGTAATGTAATGAAAACATTTCCCCCATAGTAGGAATTCTTGTCGTGGGTGCGTTTACTAACTTGTTGTACAATTTTACTTGCACATCGCACCCAGACCCGTAACTACAACTATGGTTCACTCAATGAATTGTACCGTGCAGAACCCGCTGTGTCAACCATGCACGTAATCAAAAGAGTGAAACGGCAAAAAAAGTCCATCTTACTACATACATAACATAACATCACGCCTTTTTATCCCCGAAGGGGTAGGCAGAGATGCACTTAATGCCACTGTACAATGTAACACCCACTTTTCACTATTTATGTTATGCGTCCCGTGTAATAGGGGGTGAGCCTATTGCCATATACCGGGCACATTTCCAGACTCCGTGCTACTAATGCGATTTTTAAAAACCCAGTGATACTTTGCCCGACCCGGGAATCAAACCCGAGACCCCTTGCTCGGCAGTCGTACTTGCGACCGGTCGGCCAACGAGGTAGTCCATCTTATTCTTCAGAAAAAAGTCCTTCTTGATTTTAGTGTTTAATTTTATATAGTTTAGTCATACAGGGGGTATAAAATATGACGTTTTACGTAGAAGGTGCACCAGATGTTTGATGATATCATGATTTATCCAGGAAAGACCTATTATTATTAGTAATGAATAAGGAAGTTTAATCTTTAATGAAAACAAAATTAAATCTCTTTTGATTTGGCAAAAAGGTTTTACATTATGTACTCCTTTAAAAATAATCACATTTAAATGTTCTGATATTTGACTAAAAGGAATTAGAGATCTTCGTAAATATGTTGCGGTTTTGCAATAAAATATATTACTTTACCTAATCAATACTAATTAGCGGTTAATATATTGAGGAAATACATTAAAACTAAGTATTAATTGAAGAACTGAGAGACGGAGCACAAGTACTTATGTACATTCAGTAAATTGACAGTACCATTAATTGCTTTAATAGCCGCTCGGAATATGCATAAATATGGCGTATTTAATTTTTTATGTCAATGACCTCACGTTGCCGGATTTAGGCGCGATTTCTTAGCTGTTTATACCGTATAGAAACTATTTTGATCCCGCCTCCGTCCATGCTGGTCACTCTATTTGACTTTCATATTGCGGACAGATGCACTTATGTATACATTATACGACACTCTTATAAAAAAGATATTAGTTAGCTTAAACCTGCGATTTGTAATTCCAAGCCTATATTTATTTGTACAGAATGGATTGGTTTATGGAACAAATTGCTAACACTAGTACGCCTACGTGTTAATAGAGTTAGAATTAGGACCAAAATAACAACACGGTCCTTATGTCCGTATTAGGCGTAAAAGCTTTAACTAGATGCTAATACCGGTATCATAATATTACGAAACTATTGGAATAATCGACCGTTGACTCATACTACTATGAAGCCGTTAGATTTATTTTGCTACAGTCTGTGACGTCACAACGCAATATGGATCAGGGAGAAATTACCAATTCATCACTTCGGATCGTTCACTGCACATCTATTACAACGCTTTGTATATCTCTTTCTTCTGAGAATCACACTCGTTCTCAATAACATCAAAGATGGGAGCAATAGAGCATAATTTTGAAATGAAAAATAGTAATAAATGATTCTATTTTTGAACTAATACAGACGGTTTGCTTCATGACTTTAATTTGTATTGCAGAATTTACTATCAACTTTATTACCTGGTAAGGATATTGGTACCTGATCATTCTGGTCGTGGGTTAAGTAGAGCCAGCCGAGGAGGGCTTGGGGGCAGCCCTCGGTCTTGCCACACCACTGGGGCAGGTCCGCACCAATCGCAGTCGGCGACATCGCACCATAAGACCATAACACTATCACAACACTAAAGCTACCAAAATGTAAGTTTTGGTATTTTGGTATTCTTTGTTTGGTTCGTCAGGCCATCGCGTCGCGGCCCGGTCGGCGGGTATTTTTGGAACGCGTTCGGTTCCACGGGATGCGCCCGCGCCGGCTACGATGTGACTAGCGGTCGCCGCCGCTCCTTAAGACGGGAGATGTGGCTAAGGGACGTCTGGATCTTACATTAGTATTTAGTTATCGATTAAGATGTCGGAATTGATATTATGAAAAGTTCTTTTTTCTGATAAGTAGAATTGTAATGGAAGTATTTCTACAAGTTTTGCTTTGATTAGATAACGGTGCTTTGCGTTGTATAATTTTTGTAACTTTGGATTGACTCGTAGAGAAAAATAGTACATTATCAAAGAGCTCGTCGCTTTTTTTATCAACGTTTTGTCAGAAATTATAAAACATTGAGTCTATTGTATGCAATAGGTTCAATATGTTATGTTTTCTATGGAAAGAGAGCGCATTTGTATAATTAACAATACCCCGCGTTCTGTCAAACAAACCATACAACAAATAATTTAAAACAAAGCTTCAATTCTGTACCAATATTCCTAGCACAGAGTTATCGATACGTAACGTTGCACATCACTAACGGCGAGCATGTGGGCGCACCCGTCCGCGCCGGGGCAGTCGGGAGAGCAATATTTTGGTTCGCTCCGTACCACAACACTATTCACGATATCATACATCGTTACATTACGTAGTGGCAGTCATACGTTACTACTGAAGTACTGAAAGTTTCACGTACAGAGCACATGTTGTTTTTTAACATGTTTTGAACTTTTTGTCGTAATAATAAGGTTGGAAATGCATTAAAAGTTGCTACACTATGTTAACATATCTTCTACTATGTAGTAGCGGTTACTATGTTCGTACTGAAATTTTCAGTTAATAAAAATGAAACTTCATTGTATATGAAAATTACTTCTAATCTATGTTAAAGAGATTTGAAAGATCTTAACTCAACAGAACATACATTGTTCTAAGTTTTAATGTTATTAGTGAAAATTTATTATTATAAAAACTTATTATTATAAAATATCTATAGGAATATTTTATATGAAATCTGTAGTAGAAAATGAAATGTGTATCGAAGAAGTCAGTATTTTGTGTTCAATAATGAAAAGTAAACAAGTCCTTTACTACTGGTAGTGACTGTTGACACCACTTTCAAACACGTGGTTAGAATCTTTTTTTGTTCAACTAAATATTAACCCATATTTTTTCGTATGAAGATGGTATAGTTCAATATTTAACTTTCTTTTTAAAATATGTATATTATTCTTTCATTGGATAAGCCGGTAAACAAGCAGACGGATCACCTGATGGTAAGCAATCGGCGTCGCCCATGAACACTTGAAATACCAGAGGCGTTACATGTGTATTACCGGCGTTTTAGGAATTTGAGGATTGTTGGGGGTTCGGGGATTGGGGAGGTGAGGAATTAGGCCTCCAGTAACCTCATTCATACGACGAAATACAACGCAAGCATAGTTTCATGTCGGTCTTTTGTGAGGCCGTGGTATCACTCCGGTCGAGCCATACTTGCCTACATAGGTATTTCAAATTAACAGAAATCTATCTCAGCACTATTTGACTTATTCTACAGATACAATGTAACAGCCGTTGGAAACTTAATCCCTAATGACGTGGGCAGTGTATGTACTAATCCTACTTATTGAGAATGTCGTTTAAACAGTTGAAGTCAGCAGTTCGACCTCCCGGCTAGCATTCGATGTAAGTACTATATTATATGATATTACTATGTAGGTCAGCCATTGGAGGAAGATGGGAACTTGGTGAATGTATTATAGAGAGAATTGGAATTCTTTTACAGATTTAGTTATGATGATTTTATTAATATTGGACGTTGATAGTTTAGTTTAGACATTTTGTACTAACATTTAAAATTAACAATCATGATGAAATATCAAGTAAGCATTTTATCATTTTTTGTCGTGTTTATGATATAAAAAATTAAATTAAGTATAGGTTGTTCAAATTTTGGGTACACCTTGAAACACATGCATACTAGTAAGCACCCATAGACATGAGTGCTTCAAAATTGTGACCTACTTGATATTTGATATTTTCTAAGGTTCAACAAGTAGGTACTACTCATGTCCTCGCTATAAAAACTTTGGCCATGAAAACAAAATAAGTTTAATGTAATTTATTAACAATTCACACTTGAAACTGTCAAATTTCACAAGCGCTTTGAGTCTTTAAGAGTTCTCGAATTTATTTGGCTATACGGATGTTTTAAAAACGGGTAAAATCATTGAATGACTTCTCCTGCCTGAGTGAGGCGGTAGGGAGTGTCAGACTCTTACTGACTAAAAACCACCCCGTTCCTTCTCCTGCACTTCGAGCCGGAGCCCCGGTAACCCGTTAGGTTCTCCGCGGCTCCGAATCTGGTTATATGATTACGTTCCTTTTATGTATGCAAGTACCTATGTATGTTTAAAATGAACATAGCTGTTCTTTATAAAGTTCGAGAATAATGTTTTGTATCATCATCCAAAATCCAACAGCCTATAAGTGCCCACTAAAGGCCTCCGGAGAAGATTTAAGCATATTTATTACCACGCTTGCTAAATGCGGGGTGGCGATTTTAAACTTATAATTATAAATTATAAGCCCAGGTTTCTTTACGATTTCCTACACCGTTTGTCAGTGGCGTCCAAATAATCTTAGAGAGTACATATAACTCGGAAAATTTCACCTGCGCCGTCATGCTCAAGCATTCTTATTGCAAGGCACTCGTGCGTGTGTCTTAAACCTTCGGGCCACCATGGTTGGTTCCGTACGTAGTTATAATATATCGTATCATAATATTCTAACTAAGTACAGAACGGTCCCACCGGTAAGTTTTACACGAAACTGAATTTTATTGTTTGGTATGCTTTAAATATGTAGTCGAACGTAAGTTATTCGTGTATAGTAGAAAATATTCTACAAACTACTGTACCATGTTAGTGTTTACATGTAAGAAGTGGGTTGTTTGAAAACATTGGCATTTGGTAAGAATTTGTGAGCTTTTCATTTGAGTAAACAAATGAAAACCGATCGTTCTCTTGTTATACTGCAATACATCTCATAACGCATTACTATACTATACAGGCAACGCCTGACGATCTCCGGCCACCGTAGGCGCGGGCCTGCGGACGGCGAGCATGGGTGGCTCCCCGTCCGACCAGAAACAGACCCGAGCGTACGGCGCTTCGCGTTCCGCGCGCACCTCAAAGGGCCATCAGACCACCACAGATGGGGCCCAATAGGGCCGATGCCGATTCGGAGTCGCGGAGAACCTAACGGGTAACCGGGGCTCCGGCTCGACGTGCAGGAGAAGGAACAGGGTGGTTTTTAGTCAGTAAGAGTCTGACACTCCCTCCCGCCTCACCCAGGCGGGAGCAGACATTCGATGATTTTCCACCCTTAAAAAAAAAATACAGGCAACGCCTAGTTCAGGAGACAGAGCTTGATGTATTTAGATGTTGGTATATGAATATACTTGTGTTTCGTCATGTGAGTGAGGTTACCGAAGGCCCAATTACCCCCTTCCTTACCCTTCTCCCAAATCCCCGAATCCTCCACAATCCTTAAATTTCCAATTCCCAAAAGGCCGATAACGCACTTGTAATGCTTTGGTGTTTCGAGTGTCCATGGGCGGCGCCCATTGTTTACCATCAGTTGATCCATCTGCTCGTTTACTGGCTGTATGGTATATAAAAAAACTGTACTTACATGATCTACATGTTTGTAAGTACAACAGGCACTTTTAAACTTACTGGCGCACTTAGAGACATTCAAGTATTACTTAAACTATTCCTCAGTAACAATTTTGTCCCAAAAACAATTGCTAAGGACATGTTAAGTGACTCTGAGTAGGGCAATATCCCTTTATGCTTACTTCTATTTATTATTTGAATAACGTTGCCCCTCAAAAGGATTTTCTCCTGTATCGTGGGTGCGTTTACACACATACAAGTTCACATACACATGACACACAGACCTGGAACAACCATCTGTGGATGCCGTGCGGAATCGTACCCGCAACACGTTACGCGGCAGCCAGTTGTTACTCGTGCTGTCAAATCTAGTCTATATGCAAAAAGTGTGTTTGTTTGCCTTTCCTACACGTCTCAGGACTTTAGCAGTGAACATTTATTAACACGTTAACCGCTGCGTAGGTCTCCGGTGACCTACGTTAGCGGAGGATTTGCCTTCAGCAGTTTTCAGTCGGCAGTCAAAGGTTTAAATTCCGAATATTTATAACATACTACAGCATTTTCATACATGTTTTAAAAACATGCCCTGTTGTTGTATTCTGAATATATTTATGATCAAAATATGCCAAAATAATGGTACTGTCGGCGAATACATTTCCTGTAAGCACCGTCTAAAATCACCATCTTTCATTGTATTGCATTTCTATTCGCTAATAGCCTAACAATCGCTGTTCACTCTTGCGCATGTTCGAAACATTTATTGTTAAAGATTTAGTGTTTATTTATCTTTGTGATTGGTATTCGTATTTACTTTTAATAGGATCTGAAATTGTGCAGTCGATTGGTTGGTTAGCAGTTGCTTGAGCTATTACCTAGCAACGATTTGGTTTCCATTCCTAGATTGGATAAATAAACAAATACTTGATTTGAATTGCAAAATATACTAGCTACTTCCGCGCGGTTTCACTCGCACTGCTCAGCTCCTATTGATCGTAACGTGATGTTTTATAACCTATAGCCATCCTCGATAAATGCGCTATACAACACAAAAAGAATTATTCAAATCAGACTTGTAGTTACGGAGATTAGCGCGTTCAAACAAACAAACAAAAAAACAAACTCTTCCGCTTTATATAATAGTATAAGATATAAGATAATAAGATTATGTAGTCTAGAGCTAGTAGGCATATTACAGTTGTAGCATATCTAAGATGCCGTATAATTAAAATAAATGGTGTAATGGATCACAATGTGGAGTCAGGGAAAACACACAGAAAAGATGATTATAAATAGTAGTATAAGGTTTATTTGATACAACAGTGGTCTACTACTACTTGCTTACTTACTTACTACTTACTTCGTTTTCTCTTTTATACAATAAAAAACATTTAATACACCATTACACAAATGATACACATTAGTTATCAATGTGGTTACAATTAAATATACATTAAAATATTATGTAAAACTTGTTATTATTTAGGCACATTACAGTGGCAACTTATATACATAAAATTCGTAAAATATTGGAAATATGATTAAAACGTCTGGTTACTACTCATCTATCCATGTCTAAAGATACAAGTATAATATCACAGTAACTCGCAATAAAATCACACAAACAGGTCAACTTTACTTATCAATATCTATTACAGGACACCATTACTATCAAATAGAATTCCTACCACATCCTAGTTACAAACATTGGACATACATTCACAACCATTGCTCGTTTTTCAAACAACGATCAAAAAGTGATCAATAGTTACACAGCAATGTATGTGACACATACACCAATGTTTGTCCGCCATGACAGTTTGGAATGACGTTTGTAAATGTCAGCTAGCTTATTGGATGGTCCATTGTAGTCAATTAAGGAGCGTCATGCAATTCAATTGAGTTTATTACGATACCCAGCGCTCGTATGAACTGTTAATAAAAGTGCTTGTTTAGTGGGCCTCTTTGTTTAAGTATTCTGTGCTTTTTCGTTTGTGGTTGTTATTGTTTTGCCCTTTTACTAGTCCAGTTTTGCTTGTCTAGAATTGTGTTTTGAGATTCATCACAAACATTGTTATTATTATGTAGGTGGGAATTGAATCGAAATCAATACTCCATGTTCGGCAGTCGCAGTTGAGGCTATTCGACCAAAAAGAGAACAGAGTTCAGAGTTATACATCAACATAACATCACGCCTTTTATCCCCGAAGGAGTAGGCAGAGGTACACATTATACCACTGTACAATGTAACACTCATTTTTCACTATATATGTTATGAGTCCCATGTAATAGGAGGTGAGCCTATTGCCATATACCGGGCACAATTCCAGAATCCGTGCTACTACTGAGAATTTTTAAAAAACCCAGTAATTCTTTGCCCGACCCTGGAATCGAACCCGAGACCCCTTGCCCGGCAGTCACACTTGCGACTACTCGGCCAACGAGGCAGTCAGGTCAGATTTATAGTTCTGAGATTTTGTGATTTTCGCGTTTGGTTTTAATCATACCTCATCTGTCTCCACTCTTGTGCTGTCATGTGCTGTCTTAAATGTCATTGCAAAAAATAATTTTAGTTTTTTCAAAAGTCTGAAGGTCAAGTCAAGTCGTGTTCCTAAGTTTCGAATATTTTTTATGTGAAGTTTCAATTACCAATAAAACAAACGAAAGAACCGAACCGAACACATTTCGCAATCAATATAAATAATGAGTTAGTTATTCATATGCCAGGCAACGCCAGGCTATCGTGCCAGGTAAATAGGTACTACAAATACCATAATTTTAATAATTAAATAATATGGTTAAGGTAGGTCTTAAGCCAACCGGGAATGCACAAGACGCAACAGTCACGTTTGCGGCCATACGACCACAGACAATAAAGACAGACAAAAATATTAAATACCATAAAAAATGATACAACCGTAAATTGATGTATTCAATGTCTCAAAAATGTCGCAACTATAAATAAAACAAAGCTTTCTTTGATGAGGGCAACACGTGTGACCGTTCATTTGTTTTTGGTAAGACCATTGTTTTTTTTTTCTTTTTTTAGATTTTGTGCAACATCTGTCCTGTCCCCTGAGGCTTGGCCGTTATTATAATACTTGATGTAATACTTTCTTATGCTTTGTTTTTTTTATTGTAGCTAAATAATTTTTATTTTATTTTTTTGATTGCGCAACCGTACCTACCATTTATTGTGCCTTTACCCTTTTAAAAAAAAATACAAGACAGACCCTTTTATCTTGTGTTTTATTGATGTTTTGAAATTATGTAGTAGTTTATTCAATACATTGGTGCCCTATATAACATCTTTCATTTTGCGTAAGAATTGACGAGTAGTTTTATTAAAATAACCAACGTCTTTGACTAAAATGAGGCTTTACCAAAAAGTTCAGTCTATAAAAAAAAACATTTATAAATCTAGAAACACTGGCCGTTTACAAACTACGGCACGACAACCAGCAAGCCGCGCGCCATAACAGAAAAAAAAACAAAAAGTTTGACAAACGAAAAAATAATGTTCCAAAATTGACAGTAGTTGTTTGACACGCCGTCTCTCTGTTACAAGATTATAATTAAAGTGGAAACTATTGCATTTATTTATATTACCTACTGAACATTTACATTGTTGAAGAACGAAATCACTACATTGGATTGCAAGCAAATTTTTTTAGGTGAGTTTTTTTACGTTTGACTTTTGACATGGATGACGGTCTGCAAATGAAAGTCTGTGGAACATTATTTTGTTGATGGTACGGAGAACGCAACAGAGAGAAGCATTCAGTTTTCAAATGTGTTGCAGATTTCAAAATAAAGGACTTGAAACTTGCTTTTAAACTAGCGAACGTAGCAGCGCTATTAGCAACGAATTATTCACTCATATTTTATCGGCCATATCAAATATATAAACACCGGGATAACTGTTGAACACATTACAATTACAATCTCGCTAGCCGTTGTGATGTAAATTAGTTAAATAACCTTGAACTTAACCATGAACAGCTTAATCCTTTCGACCGTTCAACAATAAGATATTATGTTAGACAAATATTAACTGTACTCACAATTATAAACGTCTTGATGATATCGTCATGTTTGTCTCCCATTGGGGTAGACAGAGCCAATATAACATGACATGGTTATTATTGGTTATGGTATACCTCTTTCTTTTCATTAATCTCAATCGCTTCATGCTTCTTCAAGTAACACTTATAATTTATACTGGGTGTTTGGAAGTAAAGTACCCCAAGGCAGAATGGTGTGGGGTCATGTGTCCACCCATTTGTAGGCCACATGGCCACATGGGGTCAGCAGGTTGATGGCACATTGTTGTTTTTGCGTATTTTGATTACTAAGCGTTACGCCGTGTCACGGCAAACTCGGTCAATGTAATGCCTATGCAAAACGTTTTTGTGCTTGTTTTCTTGCTAAACTAGTTTTATAGATGTTTCATTTACTTGGCGTTTAAATTGTTAAACTTGGTTTTATATTATCTCATACTTTATTTTAAGACTGCCTTATTAGCCGGGTGGTTGTAAGTGCGACTGCCGGGCAAGGGGTCTCGGGTTCGATTCCCGATTCGGGCAAAGTATTACTGGGTTTTTTTAATATTCTCAGTAGTAGCACGGAGTCTGGAATTGTGCCCGGTATATGGCAATAGGCTCACCCACTATTACATGGGACTCATAGCATAAATAGTGAAAAGTGGGTGTTACATTGTATAGTGGTATAATGTGTACCTCTGCCTACCCCTTTGGGGATAAAAGGCGTGATGTTATGTTTATTTTAAGATTAGGTAATCAATGAGTAGAGCAAATATGTTACCTTTTTCATTTCAATATTTTCATTATCTAATACCACAGCCACATTATAGGAATGAGTTCGTTTCCCATAAGATAAAACGAACACATTATTCGTATCCATTCGTACGTACTTAAGTACGTACGTATGATTGGCCTGCTCTTATGATCCAACCAATCAGAGTACTGAAGTTGGTCTCGTTTCGATTACTTTAAACATAAAACAAACTCGTACTAAGCCCTTAGACCTTACCTTAGCACGCACTCTGTCTATCTTACCATACATCTCTGTCTATCCCTTCTGACAATAAAAAATAATGTTACGTAAAACAAACAAAATTCGTACCTGAGCATACACAATGTGTCGTATACATGATTTAACATAACATAACATTACGCCTTTTATCCCCGAAAGGGTTTTTTTTTTAAGGGGGGAAAATTATCGAATGCCTGCTCCCGCCTGGGTGAGGCGGAAGGGAGTGTCAGACTCTTACTGACTAAAAACCACCCCGTTCCTTCTCCTGCACGTCGAGCCGGAGCCCCGGTTACCCGTTAGGTTCTCCGCGACTCACCGAAAGGGTAGGCAGAGGTGCACATTACGGCACTTAATGTGCCACTGTACTTACAATGTAACACCCACTTTTCACTATTTATGTTATGAGTCCCATGTAATAGTGGGTGAGCTTATTGCCATATACCGGGCACATTTCCAGACTCCTTATTGCTAGTACTGAGAATTTTAAAAGAATTTTAACCCAGTAATACTTTGCCCGACCCGGGAGTTTGTACCTATGTATACATGATTTATACGCGTAATTGCTAGGCATATTATTAAAAGTTCGTTACTAAATAAAGGCTTGTGTGTTGCGACGCGTAATAAAGCAACTGAAGTGTGAATAGCGTGTAATCTAGATCTAGGCTACAGGAGTTGGTCTTAGGATGACCATTATTTACGTAGCTTGCCCCTTATTTACCAACCTCTCCTAAATTATAAGTAACTTTTAAGTTAAGGTAGATATTTAACGTCATTTTGATTTTTACCAACCCATAAGTGACACCTAGCTGTACAAGTAGGTAAGGAGATAGTTTAGGTGCTACGTGACACTAAGAAACTCATAGTTAGAGATGATTTAGGTACTCGATGCACTGCTGGAATTCAAGTCTTTGTTTCATAATTAGGTGGGAGATAGTAGTTTCATTAAACGGTTTAATTATACGACACCCACGAGAAGAGCTGTGGAGGTGGTGACAAAATTCTACACAGCCGCCAACATACGAGGGTTTACATTTTGAGAATATACAAAGACTTGTCTCCAAAATTCGATAAAGCATGTCAACCTTAGCCCGATGTTATCGTGGATTATCAAAATAATTGAAGTAAATTACGTTTGGAACAGTTTGCGGCGGTCGTGCTGATGTAGGTGAACGTTCAGGGAACGAACTGCCGTCAGTTTGGGAAGCGTGTCGTGCTTCGGTGACAGCGCCTGTTCCTACTAAAGTAGCAAACTTTCAGGAATCTTATAATGTTAGTATGGGTTTTTGCTATTTGCTGTAATTGAGACTATCTGCCTATTGTGACTTATGATTGTTTTACAGTATAGATATCATTTTGTACTAGAACAAATAGTTTAACCCAAGTTAAGTAGACAAAACTACTACTTACTTACTTAATACTGAGTTTTTGAAATTCTCATTAGTAGTACGGAGTCTGGAGTTGTGCCCGGTATATGGCAATAGGCTCACCCCCTTTTACATGGGACTCATGACATAAATAGTGAAAAGTGGATGTTACATTGTAAAGTGGCATTAAATGCCGTAATGTACACCTCTGCTTACCCCTTCGGGGATAAAAGGCGTGAAGTTATGTTACGTTATGTAGACAAAACATACACCTATGTATTTTATTCAATGTTTGTGCTATAAGACAAGCATATATTATATACATTGTACGGCGAGTACATCGGTCGCGTCCCGCGCGTGCCTCAAAGAGCCATCAGATCACTAACAGGGCTGATGCCGATACGGAGCCGCGGAGAACGTTTTACCGCGGTTCCCGGGCTCCGGCTTTCATTGTTATTGTTGATTTTCTCTGATTTGCATCTTAATTATTGCATACGTACCTCAAATCTTCTACAATATTCCCCCTTTTAAATCCGAAGTAGCTAAACGCACTCAGAAACAGGTTCATTCTCACCTGTCTCGTAGTTTGAAACTGAGCAGCAAAAATAAACACAAGGATTCCTATATAAAAGTCGAAATTACAATGTATCTAGGCAGCCATAGGTACTTAGTTACTTTAAACAAAGTATAGAAATAAAGAACAGCTTATGATGCAGAATTCGGAGCAAAATTCAAGGAACTTATATCAGGCTAAACAGTTCATTTTCGTTACCGGGAATTGTTAGATTAAGCTGTGTCTGTGAATTCAGATAGCGCTGTTTACATTCACCGTACCTACTCGGGTTACAATATAAGTACTGTGACTGTGATGCTTATTAAGGGAGTTTGTACCTATGTTATGACTGCGTTCATCTAGTGCTCGGAAATGCAACTGCTGAGTATGCATACTTCTGCGTTTGATTTCTTTGTAGAATTTTATCGTGTTATTGTTGATTAGGTTTTTTAAAATACTAAGGGCCGATTTATCCAACGCCAGATATTTTTTTATCAGAAGAATAACTATGAATATTTGATAATTTTTCTATACTAAACAGTCAAATGTCAATTGTATAGGTAGCGTCATCCTCGCTAATTATACTAGTAGGCACTAATCTGGGCACGCTGTCACAATATTTAAAGATGAACACATTCATAAAAAAAAATATTTATACTCTATGGTCATCTCACTGGCAACATCATTGTACTTCTTTGTGCACGACCTGTCACGTCGTACCCTGGAAAATTTTTCAATTTAATTTGGTGATTTTCCTACTAAATGGGTCGAAAACGTCGCAAGCAGATAGGAAAACTGATGGAGTGTATGCAGGAATTGGATAATTGGGCGAAACCGGCGAGAGGACGCATTCGTTGTCGTCAGTTTGGTAAGTTTTTTCTTGTAGGTACTTACACCACATTGTGGGGCGTTTTCCAATAGCTTCCACAAGCGGATAGCCTTGAGAATGATTGTGTACGCAACATACACACTTGAAACGTACCATAAGAGCCCTCAGGAGAGGTGAGCCATTGGTTATACGTTTTCTATATACCTAGATTAAACCACAAGAGCCTTCACGAGAGGTCGGCCGTTGGTTACACGTTTACTATAGATCGAAACCACAAGAGCCTTCACGAGAGGTTGGCCGTTGGTTACATGTTTACTATAGATTAAACCACAAGAGCCTTCACGAGAGGTTGGCCGTTGGTTACATGTTTACTATAGATCGAACCACAAGAGCCTTCACGAGAGGTTGGCCGTTGGTTACATGTTTACTATAGATCGAACCACAAGAGCCTTCACGAGAGGTTGGCCGTTGGTTACATGTTTACTATAGATCGAACCACAAGAGCCTTCACGAGAGGTTGGCCGTTGGTTACATGTTTACTGTAGATCGAACCACAAGAGCCTTCACGAGAGGTTGGCCGTTGGTAACTCTACTATAGAATTAACCACAAGAGCTTTCACGAGAGGTTAGCCATTGGTTTACTTGACTTTGGAACGAACCACAAGAGCTTTCACGAGAGGTCAGCCGTTGGTTACTTGACTTTGAAGCAAACCACAAGAGCTTTCACGAGAGGTTAGCCACGGGTTTAAGTCACATTTAGTCAAACATTTCCAACTGCAATCCTAGAGCTTTCACGAGAGGTTAGCCGTGGATCATTTAAACTACCTTGCAGTTAGAAACTTAAAATCAGTTCGCTTTGCCTCAGAAGAACAT